ATAGCGCCCAACCCTTTGCCAACCATTCTCGTCAAGAACTCTGCAGGAAGCCTGGCGCAGTGGCTCCACACCTTCCTGGCCACAACATGGACAACGAGGCCCATGATCCCGCAATGCTGGAAAGATGCAAAGCTGACTCTTCTACCTACTGATCTTCGACCCATAGCTCTCACTGACCCTGTGGGCAAAGCAGTCCTAGGACATTACGCCCGCAAGGTGAAGGAGGCTATGCTGCCGACCCTGGTCCAGATTCTGCTTTTAGCATATCTTTCGGGGCGGAGTATTGCCAAGGCCAGATCACGATATTCACCTTCTGTGCAGGCATCCGGCAACAATGTGCCAGGTTCACAGCCAGTCCATCGAAGCCGAAACAGTCCCGCACTGCTCGCTTGATCTCAAACAAGCCTTTGATCGATTACCTAGGGATGAGCTGATGCGTGGACTTAAGCAGTGCAATTGCCCTGACAACATTGCTCCGGTATTGCTCCACTGGCTTGTTGATGCCAGGTATGAACTCCAGCATCGCGGCGCCCAGACCTTGAAGTGCATGACTGCTCGTGATTTCCCACCGAAATATCAAATCGTCCGTATAGGCAAGCAGGTGTTGCCGAAGCCACTCATGGAAGGTGAGGCCAGTGCCTGCAAGTGTTGGAACATGTGGCGTGCATCATGGACACATTGGAAGGTCTTGGTCTATCCATCAGTATGGACAAAACAATTATTCTCCTACGGTTGGTTGGCAGTGAGGCACGTTCACTCTTGAAACGTCTACTGGTAGGGCACCATGGCTCCAAGTGGATTGCGATCCAGAGGAAGACGGTGTTTCACGGCCTCGTGTTGTCAGGTCACATGTTTATCTCGGTGTTCCTTTGGGGCTTTTGAACAGCAAATCACACCTTGTGCAGTCGTATGTGTGCAGATGTACGCTCATTGGCTAGATCACCAAAGCATCTCACGCATGGAACAACTACCCATGTTTTCCACGGGGTCAAGTTGACCATGCCTGACATCTATCTCAAGGAGCAGTGGTTTGCCTACTATGAGCAGTTCGAGCTTGGCCTTGCAGGTTTGACTGACACCGACTTTCTTCACCTTGTTCCTGCCAGACGAAACAGACAGAGAGTTACGCAGGTCTTTGAATAAGGTCATGAACCAGCTCGGTACAATCTTCTTCTTGTGGGTCAGCATGCTTGCCCCTATTGCGACCACATCAGTCCCACCCAGAGTCACCTGAACCAACATTTGTCCAAACGACGCAAAGCCAAACCAATCTACGAACGATTCATTTTCCTCACAGAGATGCAGCAGGAGGAATGCCCAGATGTCGACACTGTCAACGAAAGCTGGCAACTTGGAGAGGCCTTCAACACCACATTGAACGCGCTCAGTTTCAACCTGATCCTCCCTGTCAGGTTGCTCATATTGATCTTCCAGAGCTTCGAGCCTACGCGGCCACGGAGGGCTGGCAGGCGCTCACGGAGAATACGGGGCTGATGGAGAAGATCAGAGGAAGCTGCATCATGTGCAACAAGGTCTTCCAATGTGGGAAGGATTTGCTAGCTCACCTCCAACGAATGCACTACACGATCTGGAATGAGTCGAAATTTCACACATCACGAGTGATCGGTTGTTTGAGACGATGCAAACCTTGTAGTGCATGTGGCAGAGATATCAGCAGTGAGCGCAACTGCCATGCCATCAGGCAAATGGCAATTTTGCAGATGATGACCGCCAACAATCACTTCTCTCATGATGTGTTGACAGGTGCACCGAAGTCCATCGATCCTCGTCCTCCTGACGCTGATCATCCTGTGCCTGACCAAGTCAAGCGACTTGTTACGCCTCAGACCAGCAGGGATGAACCTTCACTGGCAGAGGACGTACGTGGAAGGCATCGGTGGCTGATTCAGGCGCCATTCTCACACCCCCGACTCTTTCAGCCATAGCAGGAAAAGTGCAGACTGAATTGCAAGATCTCATTTCGAGCTGGAATGGGTACACGGGCATGAACACGGCATTCACCAGAAGCTCCAATGCCTACTACTCGACTGACTCAGGTGAACCACTTCAACCCGAGTGGAAGCTGCGCATCCCGGACACAGTTTTGCTACCCATCAAGGCTCTGGAGGAGAACGGTCAAATCTACATGGAGTACCGCATCATTGGGGGCATCGTCCATAGAGGTCAGGATAATGAAGGACACATTCAAGCTGTGTGTCGTAACCATCTGGGATGGCTGGTCTTTGACGATATGAAAGAGCCCACGCAGCACGATTCGAATCCACCCTTTGCAGATGATTGGGTATGCATTTGGTTGTTGCAGTTCAGTTGGGTGATTCCTCGCCTTCCGACATATTGGCTGCAAGGTTTGGACAGCCTTGCCACCAGGACCGCAGTCGAGTTCAGCCGGCGCGTATGGCGCTTGGAGCACTATCCTCAGGACCTCATAAATCACATGAAATCACACTGCCTCATGTGTGGATGCATGGTTCTCTGCCACCAGATCTAGAGCTTGCAGCAACATATTCGTCGAGTCCATCCTGAGTTCCTCTATGTTCTGCAT